TTTTAAGCCCTGCATTGATCTTACGGGGCTATTTGGTCTAAGCGCTCCCACTCCTTGCCACCCCCCCTGCCCCCAGAAAGCCCCCCCAGTGTGTGATGTTCCCCTCCCTGTGTTCATGTGTTCTCATTGTTCAACTCCTGCTTATGAGTGAGAACATGCAGTGTTTGGTTTTCCGTTCCCGTGTTAGTTTGCTGAGAAAGATGGCTTCCAGCTTCATCCATGTCCACGGAAAGACCACGATCTCATTCTTTTTTATGGCTGCAGGGATTATTTGTTTTTGAGTTGTTTGAGTTCCTTGTATATTCTGGATACTAGTCCTTAGTTGGATGAATAGTTTGCAAATATTTTCTCCTATTCAACAGGAAATATTGGCAACTCAGTTTGTTTCTTGGCTTGAGTGGAAGTTTTTTAGTTTAATATAGTCTATTTGCTATTTTTGTTGTATGTTGTTGCTGTGCTTTTTGGGTCTTAGCCATAAAATCTTTGCCTAGACAATGTTAAAATTTTCCCTGATGTTTCCTTCTGTATAAAGTTTATTAGTTTTTTTTTTAAGAGAGAGAGGTTTTCACTCTGTCACCCAGGCTACAGTGTGTAAGACGATCAGCTCAATTTGCAACCATTGAACTCTTGGGCTCAAGATCTCTCTACTCTGCCATTCCAAGTAGGTGGGGACTTACCAAGCAGCATGCCATCACTGCCATTTTTTTTTTTTTTTTGGTAGAAGATGGGTCTCACTGCATTGTCAGGATGATCTTTGGATTCCTGGGTCAAATGATCCTCCAGGTTGGGCTTCCCAAAGGCTAGATTATAGGTGTGAAGGCCACCGCACCTGGTCCCCTTTAAGTCTTTAATCCATTCTTGAGTTGGATTTTGTGTATGGTTGAGAGACAGGGCCCGTTTATTCTTTTGCATGTGGGAGATTTATTTCTTGGGTTCTCTAGTCTGTTCCATTGGGTTTATGTGTCTGTTTTTTTTGCACATATTATGTTTTGGTTACTTACAGCCTGGATATATATATAATATATATAAACAATGTGTGTATATATTACATTGATATATTGTCATTTTATATAACCAATATTATATTAACAATATATTGATCATATATATCAGTTATATATATTATAACATGTGACTTGAGAAGTTTATATGGAAGACATTTTTATGTTGCAGATATACGTAGCAAGCAAATTTACCATTTTGCCATTTTGTTTTGTGTTTTCTCATTGCCAGCCTCCTGGGGCTCAAGTCAATTCTCCCCCTAGCCTCTGGAGTAGTTGGGACGTCAGGTCAAGCTGCAAACATCCAGGCTGATTTTTGTATTTTTAGAAGAGGCAGGGTTTTGCCATGTTGCCTAGGCTGGTCTCAAACTTCTGGGCTCAAGTAATCTACCTGCCGAAGCCTCCCAAAGTGCTGGGATTACGAGCATGAGCCACCATGCCAGGCCTTGTTTCACCCTATGTTGTTTTTTTTTTTTTTTTTTCAAATTTCTTAAAGGTGTACTATTGGAGAGTTTAAACTTTTTGTTGGTTGGTCGATTTTCTTTCTTTCTCTCTCTCTCTCTCTCTCTCTCTCTTATTTTTTTGCATCTCAGATGACACAAACCATTGTTTGTTTTCTCAGACACGGTTTCACTCTGCCACCCAGGCTGCAGTGCAGTGGCATGATCCTAGTTCACTACACTCTCAAATCTGTGGGCTCCAGCAATCCTCCTACCCTGCTCCCCAGCCTCCTGAGTAACTAAGACTAGAAGCACGAGCCACCATGCCTGGCTTTTTTTTTTTTTTTTTTTTAAAGAGATACGCTCTCCCTATGTTCCTCAGGCTGGTCTCAAACTCTTGGCCCCAAGCGATCCTCCCATCTCAGCTTCCTTTTAGCCATTTTCAAGTGTAGGGTTCTGTGGCATTAAGTGCATTTTATACAAACATTTTGTAAGTTATCCTTTTCATCATTGCTTCCAAACTGCCAGGCATCTGGATATTAACACTGTCTCCAGCCCTGTGAGGTTGAGAGAGGAAGCAAGCACAAAGGAATGAATTTGACAACCCACATGTCCGTGACTCAAAGCAAGCAAGGCCTTGCACAACCAACTCGCCACCCACACAATCTGCACAGGCTCAGTGAGAAAGCAGGGGCAGGGAGCTCTACACTGAGAGTGAAGAAATGTCCTCAACTT